TTTGACTGAGAGAGTCCTGAGTTTACGTATGACAAAAGGTATGTCCTTTTTGACGACATTAATGACAACCATGGCCTGTGTGTTTGTGTGTGTGTGTGTGTCCAACCCGCGTGTCCTGTCCGGGGACAGAACCACTGTGTCCGTCACAGTCCATCAGGCTCAGTTTCTGTCCTCGCACTCAAAGGGCGAGTGTCATCTGCCATCAGTTTTCCATCTCAAGGCACGTACACATGAGAAGAGGAACACACACCTGGCAGACATCAAATCTGAACACCCTGATCCCATCCAAACCAGAACCTTAGAAACCAAGCAGATGACGCAAATCTGAGTGATCTCTCTTTCCCTCTCAAATGGCTCCTTGTCATGCCGTTGTCTCTTTCTGTTTTATCAAATGTGTGTGTTTAGTGTGTTTCTATTCATTGATGGTTACAGTTTCAGTTTCACTTTACCAGCTTAATCCTGCCCACCCTCCTGACCCAACATCCTGCATCAAACAAACACCTGCACTCTACAGTTATGATAAATTTTACATCTCAATTACAAATGAATATGATTCACTGCTCAGAGTCACTCGCATCCATGTTAATTAAGAAGAGTAAACAAAGCCAGACAGCAATAAAATGGACAATAAAAATGTGCTCGGTGTAGCAGAAGGGAAGACATCTGATCCATATAAATGTAATCTGATGCACCCGAATGCTAAAATAACTTTGTAATATTTCACAAAAGGTCCATTCCTATTACGATGTCTGAAACACATGCACGTGGGTATGCACAGACACACACACACACACACATAGACCTGGCTCCCTCGGTTCAGACTGTTGTGCCATCAGAGTCACTGTCTGACTGTGTAATTGCATAACCTGTAAAGACCTGCTCAATAATGCATGGTCAGACTAGACATGGGCAGCCTGACGGAAAACCTTACCTCAACAACCTGCTTTGTCTGGCCAAAGACCGGACACTGCAGAGACAGGACACAAGGCTGGAGGACTGTGTGTGGAGGACACTGTGTGTATGTGTGTGTGTGTGAGGAACACAATGAGGAAGAAAAATAAACTTTCACAATATTTCACAATGTTTCACTTTGAGTCTTGCTGAGTGAAATAGAGACTGGTGCAAAAAAATCCCCTATTACCAAATACTACACAGGAACAAAATTACTTCAACATTGGAGTACTTTGAAAGTAAAGTCAGAAGCAGCCAAGTCCCTCCTTTCACAGGAAGACACCTGCACCAAACTTCCTGCAACTTTCCTGGACTTCTTCCTGCTTTTGAAAACTAACCAGCGAAGGAACAGCAAACATGTCAGCCCTCTTTTGTAGACTCGCAGCGCCCAGGTGCTCACCGAGGCGGTGGCTGGGTGTGATTATGCGGGAAACGCACGGCCGAACTACCTGTCTGGTTCACCGGGACAGAGCGCGACTGCTGGCCGGGGGCGGTTGCCCTCTGACGGCGTACAGTCGCGCACACAGCCGCAGGCAGCACACGGAGGCGGCCGGTCCAGTAGAGGTGGATTTCAAGCGGTTAGAGGGGGAAGACGATGGTAGGGACCCACTTATATGTGATTCAACTTTGTTCAAGTCCACACAGACAGACAAACTCGCCATACTGTAAACATACCCACTCCGACAGGCAGCTTCCAGTCATCCATCAGATACTACAAAAGCCTTTGTCTGTGCTGTAACTGCACAAATACGTCTATTAGACTTCCTTACTTGCTGAGGAAGAAAATGCTATATTCCCACAGGTGCTGGTATTTATGGAAAGTTACTAAAATGGGGTTTGATTCATGGGAAGGAAGGACAGGAAGGAAGTCGTGCAGCCAAAAATCATAATCTTCTACAAATGAGTCTGGTCAGGAATCAGGACCAGTTTCTACATTAGATCATGTATCATGGAAACGTTCTGACTTTATGGAAGCCCATTATTGCCAAGTAAATAAATTAATAGATGAAACTCAAGATAAATATATATAAATTGTATCATATTTAAGAGTTATAAAGTCAGTTCATTTGTTGTTGATTAATCATCAGGAAATAGTGAAAAAATGATGCTGACATCAGATCCTAGAACCCCAAATATTTTATAACCCAAAGATATTCAATCAGTTAAATTATAAGCTAATTTGTTAAGTCGAAAAGCTATAACCATTTATTTTTTGCATGCTTTGAATTCGACTTATTATCGATTGATAATCCAGATATAATCAGTGTTGATTTATTACTGTTAAGTAATTGCATCTTTCTAAGTCATAATCATGAAATATGCTATCGTTGTCTCTTCAGATTTATTTAGGGAAACCTGTAGTGCTGACATCAATAAACTTAAGTTTAGATTGTTTGATTGATAGCAGTCAGTTGATTAATAACTAAATGAACGGTTAGTTGCTGCCCTCTCTCTCGTAGGGATAGTGGAGGTGTTGATGTGCCGACTCAAGGCAAGAAACGCTTTGGGCCATGTGTTTGTGTCACAGGTGAGCATACCTCTATGTCACCACTCTCTCTCTCACACACAC